AGAGTCCCTTTGGAATGGGCGGGGTGGGGAGGTGGGCGGCGCCATCACATACCCCAGGTGAAGCGGGACTAACGAGAGGAGCAAAAAAAAAAAAAAAAATTCTATGCTTGGTCACACGCTGGGTCGGCTCTGAGGGTCGCGTTGCATCAAACCGCCAGCGCATGGCTTCTCGATACCGCCCGCTGGATGCAACGAGGACCCTGCGCAGACCGGAGGCTCTGGATTGTGGCCTGGAGAGCGAGGCTTTGTAGGGTGGTCCCGGGTGCCTGCCCCTGAGAGTCCACCGTGGAGCCCCGTCCAGGGGTTCCCTACTCGGCGTCACAGAGGAGGAAGGCTACTCAAAGCCCTGTGACCCCGTGCCGCTTAGCTGAATGGGCTTAACAGATTCTTTCCAAAAGCTGGTTTAATGGAGGCACTTGTAGAGGCTCTGGAGACGCTGGACGCCTAAAAGTGAGAGGAGTACATCAGTTAGAATAAATACAGTTTTTCTCTGGTTCCCCAAAGTTGATAGATCTCCCAGTTGTATGTTCCGGAGACTGGGACTTTGTTTCAAGGAAAAGAAGGGTACTTGTTTCTGAGCTAACGCTATTGCAGATTGTCATCAAGTACGTAACTATTTTATTGGTAGCCATCTCTCCTCCGTATGTCAACTTTTATAAATTATACTGATAATACTCATTTTGGGAACTTGTTAAAATGCAGGTGAAAGGAACTATGAAGAATTATATTAATGCATTGTGTAAAAATGGAACTCATTCAGTCAGGCCTGCAACCCGTTTCTTATATTAATAACACAACAGGAAGAAACTCTCTCCTTGCTAATACGCAGCTTCATCCGCGCAGGGCCTGTTCTGTGCAAGGCACTGTTCTAAGAAGCTGGGAATACTGGGTGCCTCCGGCTCTCTGGGAAAGATAATATGGGGGGCAGTGTGTGAGCAGCGAAACTCACATTTACAGTAAAGTCTAAATGCAGCCACGGAGAAGCCCAGCGTTGTGTGGGGACACTGGGCAAGAAGCACAGGACAAAGGCAAAGCCATCAAGCCCTGAGAACTCCCTTACCCAAAGCCGGGCGGGAACCTTGAAAAACCCCAGGCGGGAAAGAAAGGAATTAGGACCATTTGCCTTCATAGTTAGTACCCAGTGTTGTACTAACGTATCACTCATTTTTCAGAGAAATATTTTCACCGAGTAAACTTGTTAGATACTAATTTCCCATACCCCAGGGTTTGTAACCTTGGCTGGCTGCAACATGTTAAAACTGTTTTTTTTTTTTTTTCCAAAACGGAGTTCCGCTCTGTTGCCCAGGCTGGAGTGCAGTGGTGAGATCTTGGCTCACTGCAACCTCTGCCTCCTGGATTCAAGCGATTCTTGTGCCTCAGCCTCCTGAGTAGGTGGGATTATAGGCAGGCACCACCACACTCAGCTAATTTTTGTATTTTTTAGTAGAAACGAGGTTTCACCATGTTGTCCAGGATGGTCTCGATCTTCTGACCTCGTGATCCACCCACCTCAGCCTCCCAAAGTGCTGGCATTACAGGTGTGAGTCACTGCGCCCGGCCAAAACTCATTTTAAGAGGCAATTCCAGCTACTTGGGAGACTGAGGCAGGAGGATCACTTGAGCCCAGGAGTTCAAGGCTACAGTGAGCCATGATCACACCACTGCTCTCCAGCCTGGGAGCCCTGTCTCTAAACAAAATACATATTTTTTAATTTAAAGGTTTCTTTTGCTGTTTTAAATTGCCCAGGTTTTGATCTAGAATGTGTGTTTGTTTGTTGTTTGGGTTTCTTTTTTTTTTTTAATTTATTTTTTGAGACAGAGTCTTGTTCTGTTGCCAGGCTGGAGTGCAGTGGGGTGATCTCAGCTCACTGCAATCTCTGCCTCCCAGGTTCAAGCGATTCTTCTGTCTCAGACTCCAGAGTAGCTGGGATTACAGGCGTGCACCACCACAACTGGCTAATTTTTTGTATTTTTAGTAGACGGCGGCGGGGGCGGCGGTGCACGTTCTCCATTTTGCTCAGGCTGGTCTTGAACTCCTGAGCTCACACAATCTGCCCACCTCGGCCTCCCAAATTGCTAGGATTACAGGCATGAGCCGCCGCACCCGTCCTGAATAATTTTAAATGGTGGCAAACATGTCTACAAATATGCTCTTCTCTGCCAGTTAACTTCTTCAAATTGACTGAGGTGTAAAAAAGTGAGAGTAACCAGACTATCACTTCATGTATCACCCTAACCTTCCTGAAAAGGGACAATATGTATATCTTTTCCAGATCTGAGAGGAAGAATGAGAGCGATTAAATTCACGTAACTGATCAAGCTCAACTTCTCACAGCTGCTGCAGCTGTGTGTTCTTGACTCTCTAATGGAGGAAGCCTTCTGTCTTCTACCACCTGTGAGTCAGAGGTAGCGGACAGTCTGATTTTATGCTTTACTGGAAATTAAGTACTGGTTTTTTTCTGTACCAGTACTCTCTTCTGGAGCAGTTTGCTTTTATTTTGTTTGAAAATGTTGTTTAAAAGGCAGCGGTGACTCACAGCTATAATCCCAGCACTTTAGGAGGCCAAGGCAGGAGGATTACCTGAGCTCAGGAGTTCAAGACCAACCTGGGCAACATAGTAAAACTCTGTGTCTACACAAATTATTTAAAAATTAGCTGGCCATGGTAGTGCATGTCTGTAGTCCCAGCTACTTTAGAGACTGAGGTGGGAGGATCCCTTGAGCCCAGGAGTTTGAGGCTGCAGTGAGCCGTGATCACACCACTGCACTCCAGCCTGGGTAACAGAGCGAGACTTGGTCTAAAAGGAAAAAAAAGGCAACTACAGAAATAGAACTTGTCCCTATTGTGACTGGAATGAAAGTTACTGAGGATTGCATGAGTAGTCTAGGCTGCAGGGCTTTGCTTTCTTTCCTCCTTTGATGGCCGTGACTTGTACTCGTCTCTCTCCCACAGCCTGGGTGATTCCGAGTCTAACTACTTCTCGTCTGCATTTCTCCCTGTTGGAGATCTCCTCGCATCAGGTTGTCTGCTCAGTCCACAAGGCATTTTCAAGTTGCCGATGGTCTTCCAATGGTAGCTTTGGGATGCTTCCCTTTTGTCATTCCATGTATAGTCATTTTGTTTGTTTTATTTAAAACTGATTGGACTTGGTCATTTTTTTTCCCTGCAGGTTTCAGCGCTGAGCAGGCCTGAGTTCTGTCATGGCCCTCTATTTTGACCACCAGATAGAAGCCCCAGATGCAGCGGGGTCGCCCTCACACATCAGCTGGCACCCTGTCCATCCATTCCTGGCAGTTGCTTACATCAGCACAACCTCAACAGGCAGCGTGGATATTTACCTGGAGCAAGTGAGTGCTCAGAAGCAAGGAGCCTGACTGTGGTAGCTTCGGGCCCACGTTGTTTGTGTTGCTGTTGTTCTCGTGTGTGTGCATCTGTGAGTGTGTGCACACGTGTGTGTGCATGTGGGTATGTGTGTGCGTGTGTGTGTATATGCGTGCATCCCTATGTGCGTGTATGTGTGTTGGTGTGTGTATGTGCATATCTATGTGTGCATCTGTATATGTGTGCACACACGTGGGTGTGTGCATATGGGTGTGTGTGTGCATCTGTATGCATGTATGTCGGGGGGTGTATGCGTGTGTATGTGTGCCTGTGTGTGTGTGTTCAAACGAACTCTACTCTAGGTTATTCATGAAGAAAACAACATCCATCAGGCCGGGCACAGTAGCTCACGCCTGTAATCCCAGCACTTTGTGAAACCAAGGTGGGTGGATCACTTGAGGTTGGGAGTTCGAGACCAGTCTGACCAACGTGGAGAAACCCCATCTCTACTAAAAATACAAAATTAGCCGGGCGTGGTGGCGCGTGCCTGTAATCCCAGCTACTCGGGAGGCTGAGGCAGGAGAACCGCTTGAACCCAGGAGGCGGAGGTTGCAGTGAGCGGAGATCGCACCGTTGCACTCCAGCCTGGGCAACAAAAGCTTAACTCTGTCCTCAAAAAAAAAAGAAAGAAAAAGAAAACAACATCCATCATCAGTTTTCACAGATGTCGAACCCCAGTATTATGAAAGCCCTAGTACGTGGGCAGTTCTTTCACCCTAGCTATTTTGGTGGCTTGGGGACATGTTTAGGAATCCTTAAGGCTCATCAGCATTAAGCCACTATCAGTTCATGGTCACCACCGGAAATGGCGCCACAGTGCTGTTTGTGGATGCTGAGGCATCCTCCTCCGTCAGCACCCTCCTTCATGTTCCACAATGGCCATTTGGAACTCTAATCATTTCCACAAACTGGGTGGCTTTCAACAACAGAAAGGTGCTCTGGCAGCTCTGGAGGCCAGAACTCCAAAATCAGGTGTCAGCAGGGCCCGCTGGCTCTGAAGGCTGAGGGGAGAGTCTGCCCTAAGCTGCTGTCCTGCTCCTGCTGTTCCCAGCAAGCCTAGCACTCCCTGGCGGGCAGATGCACTGCTCCAGCCCTGCCTCTGGTGTCATCCGGCCTTCCGTTCTGTGTGTCTGCATCTCTTCTCCTCTTCCTAAAAGGACACCCGGCATATGTAACTAGGGCCTGCTCTAATGACCTCACCTGAGCTTACCCATATCTGCAAAGACCATGTTTCCAAAGGAGGCCACGTCACAAGGACCGGGGAATAGGACTTCCACATATCTTTGTGGGGACACAGTTCACCCCCAACAGAAACTTTCCCCAAACTCTTCAGACTTCCATAACCACCCTCTTAGTGCCCATTGCACCTCCTACTCCACAAAGAAAATGAAGTGCCGGGGGCGGTGGCTCATGCCTGTAATCCCAGCACTTTGGGAGGCTGAGGTGGGCGGATCACGCGGTCAGGAGATCGAGACCATCCTGGCTAACACGGTGAAACCCCGTCTCTACTGAAAATACAAAGAATTAGCCGGACATGGTGGTGGGCACCTGTAGTCCCAACTACTCAGGAGGCTGAGGCAGGAGAATGGCGTGAACCCAGGAGGCGGAGCTTGCAGTGAGCCGAGGTCGAGCCACTGCACTCCAGCCTGGGAGACAGCGAGACTCCGTCTCAAAAAAAGAAAATGAGGTTTCCTCCTCCACTCACTCTTCTGCAGGCTCCCTGTTGCCACCACAACTCCACCCAAGCAATGACAGTCATCAGTTGCTTCTCGGTGTCACCGCCTGAGTGTTTCAGGGTCCTTGTCTGTACCACATTCCCGTGAAGTCCTCTAGGAAACATGCCTGAGAGCGCAGGGGTGGGGTGTTCCCTGCCCGACCTCCATGGCTTTGCCAGCTCTTCCTCCATTTCCAGCCTGTGAACACCATGGCCTTCCTCTCTGTTGGTCAAGGCTTCTCTCTGTTTCTTCCTCCTGTGGTCTGAGCATCCTCAGTGGCTTGCAGACACACATCTCCTGCCTCGGAGTTCCCTCTGAGCAGTAAGCTTAGAGACCCAGCTGCCTTCCTGACATCTCTAGGATGTTTCAAGGAGATCTCAGACTACACAAGACTGAACTGAAATTGTCCCCCACCCCTCCCCTGCCTCATATCTCTTGCTCACTGAAATGGGTACCTCCTATCTCAATGAAAGGCACCTCCTTTATCCTGGTTTCTAGAACAGGGACCTGGGTGTGACTGTTGACATCTCCCACTCCCCTACCTTGTAACCTGTCACTAGATCCTCCCAGTTTCTCCCCCGGAACCTCTAGCGAGTCTGCCGCTTCTTGCCCTTCCAATCACCCTTCCCTCCTCCAGGCTCCCATCCCCCTCTCCTGGACACCAGTACTACTTCCTACTGCTGCAGCTGTGCCCTCACAGGCCTCCTCTACTGTAGTCCACACGGCAGCCAGGCCTGGCCTGTCCTGGCATCACAGATGGAATCACTCCCTGCTTCCGCCTCACCTGCCCCGCGCTGCTCTTTGGGTGAACATGGAGTCCCTGATGTGGCCCTCAGCACTCTGCCATCTGTCACATCAGGCTCACCTTCCTTGATGCCGACACAACCTTCCACAGCCTTCCTCGGCCTTCCAGCCCTGCACGTGCTGTGCCCCCTGCATAGAAGGCGCTCCTTCGTCCATTTGCGTAATTAATGCATTAATCCTTCAGGTGAAAGTGGCTAAGCGGCCTCTTCCTCTGGAACTGCCCCACACACACACATGCCCTTGTGGCCCGGTGCAGCGCTGGTCTGCAGCTTCCTTGTT